CCTGAGGAGCTCAGCCATGGCTCTGCTGACTCACTTTACCATCCTGACTAACATCTGCTCTTCTGAACTGTGTGGAAATGTTAATTTCTCTCTTTCCCCCTTCTCAGTCCATAACAAGGAGTGGCTTGGAGCAGTGGGAGGTGCTGTGACCATGAGGAGAGGTTGCTGAGGGAAAGCTGAGCTGTTTGCTAAGCTCACTTTTGCATGTAGCTTGTGTTGCAGAAGGTTACCTGCTCCCTGGCATGAGTTGTGCTCCATCCACTGGCTGTCCGAGACAAAAGTGGCATTCCAGAGCCACTCGGGGGTTTTTCCTCACCTTGTAGTTCTCTGCTTGTGTAGGGCTTCCTTCTGGCTTTGCAGTTTTTCCACTGAAACACATTTCTACTGTAGCAGCCTGGAGCTAAGAGTGAGGGTGCTGGGCAGGGGGAGATGGAGAGGGGAACGGATTTTAGGAAGCTCCTAACAAAGGAAGGGATAGTTCAGCAGTGGTTTCTCCATCCTTCCTCTTACCCCAGCAAGGCCAATCCCTGCTGAGCAGCTTTCCCATGGCCATGAAGCTTCTTCCCTGTCATTTTCCCTGGAGAGGAGACATTGTTCCCAGCTCCCCTCAAAGCTGTTTTCTGTTTGGCAGAACAGAAAGGACAGTCCCCCAGCCCTAAAGAAGAGCTGTTTCTAGAGGGCCAGATCTCTCTGAACTGAAGAAGTCCATTTGCTTGGTGGCATTAGCCATAGAAAACTTTATGAAAATGCTCTAACATGCTATTTAACTCCAAAAGTTTGTGACACCTAATGCTGGGACCATAGGAAGAGCCTCAGAAGCAGAGCAAGTTCCTAGGCTCTGGCAGGTCTGCATGATGCCTCGGGCAGCAATCCACGTTCTCACCAGGGCTGTGATTTATAAATGAAACATCTCAGCAGTGCAGATCAGATCAAGAGCTGGCTTCAGCTTCTGCTGTGTTATTCATGAGTATGTGAAGGCTCTGAAAAATGTCACAGACTTTGGGTTAGGTTCTCAACACAACATTACTTCTCATGAGATGAAATATGAGTGTGTCACTGTTAAGACAGGAATGTATACACTGCAAGCTGTGAGATAACGGTGTGTACAAAGGGAAAGTGAAGTCTCTGGTGTTCTACTGTTGGTGGGTTAGTTTTCAGTTCCCTCCCAAGAGAAGCCCTTTGCTAGCAGTCCACAAGCACTTGCAGCCATGGCTGTGTGGCTCAAATCAGTCTGAAAACATTTTGACTCAGAATTGCTTTTGCATGGGATTTTGCAAAGTTGCTGGCTCCTAAGTGCAGAGGATTAGGAGCTCCTGAAGAGGCCATGCTGGCAGCCTGCAGCCTCCTCTTTGTCAAAGTGAGTATTCAACAAAGAGGTCAGCTGAAAATCTGACTTGTGTTCCCTTTTAAGCAGTGTGCTCAGCCCTCTCAGGTAATGATCTGCAGGGGCTCAGCACCACTCCTGAAGTCCTCAGGTATTTTGGCCTGGTTGCCATGGGTGCCTGGGGATGTGTGGGTCAGAAAAAGGTTGTGCAGTGCCCTTGGGGTGGGAGGAGGAGTAATGAAAAAGGCAGAGATGCTTGGAGGCCCTGAGAGTTGCAGGCATCTGGGGGAAGACAGCATGACAGGGCTGTAAATTCTCCTACATACTTTGTGAATCTCTGTTTTTTCCTGATGGAAAAGGATTTGGTCCTGTTTTCTGAGAAATAAGTGGGAGTTTTCCTGTTGGTTTCTGTGAGTGCTTGTCTGGGAGTGCTGTTTGTATGAAGAGAACTCCTAGGCTCATGGGTATTTTATCCACCTGGGCTTACATTGTTACAAACATCTGTCACTGTGTTGTGTTAAAGGCACCTGGGGGTGCTGAGCTTCAGGTCCAGTGCTCCCCACATCCCATGTACAGAGCAAGTGGCCTCTGCTTTTTAATGTTCCATTCACAGATACACGCCTGGAGCAGCATGTTGGCAGGGGACAAACAAAGCCCAGATCTGTCCCAGCTCCTCGTGTCCTGGGTGAGACATGATGCATCTTGTGGCTGGGGCCAGCAGACAGGTCTGTCTGGCCGTGCCCAAGCCGAGGAATTCAGTCTGGGTGCTTGTTTTGGCTGCTTCCAGTCTGCACATGAGGTGAAGACCTGGGTGGGCAGCATCCCTGCTATGGGCACCTCCAAACCCCTTGTGCCTGGGGTGTGCAGTCCCAGCTGGAAATGATGGTGCAGTCTTGAAGGAGCCTTACCTGGGTGCTGGGGGACCCCCAGGCAGCTGAGAGGGACAACTGCCAGTGCCTGCTGCAAATGTGAAAACAGCACCTGTATGGATCCTGCTGCTGCCTCCAGAGCATGCAGGGTGGTGCAGCTTCTAACACCGACCTTCCAGGACAAAGCTATATCCTCTTTGTGTTAGCCAGTGGGCTGTGGGAGCTTCTCTCTGCCTCTGCTTTCCTGGGGAGATGCATCTCCTGGGGAGATGGCAATGGGGCTTTGGCTTGTCAGTGGAGAGGTGTCTATATTGAAAATCAAAATATTATTGCTCTCATGCAGTCCTGGTTTTGGTAACATTGGATGGGTTTGAAATAAATACCAAGTTCCTTTGTCAAACACTTGTAATAGCTGAAACTCATGTGAATGAAGTGCTAGGAGTAATCTTCTGCCTTTCTGAGGAGATGTTTGCTCGACTGAAATCTAGTGACTCACAACCGGCATTAGTTGGATATGTGACAAGGAGATCTTATTAAAGGTCACCAGCAGTTTGAAGTGAAGGCATTGAAAAATGCCTGTCTTGTACTATAACTGTGCCTGGAGATTGTTGCCCAAGTATTGCAGTCTCACTTTTCTATTTTTAAAATGCTTTCACCAGCTGCTATGTGACCCTTCCCTCCACACCCACAACAGAAAAAAAAAAAAAAGCTTACTGATTAGAAACAGGAAATAATAAAACTCCCTAACTACGAAGTATTTTCAAATGCACAGAGTAAACAAGCAGAGATGGTGAGAAACAGGTATTTCCCACTGATCTCTTTTCAGCACAGTAACCATAGCTGATAAATTATAGCAACTGGGGATTTACAGCTTTTAGGGGGAAAGTGTGTTTTTAAGTTGATGCTGTCAAGCCATAGTTAAAATATTGTCACATCCTTTCCCAGCATAACAGTGAGGTGGCCACAAGCACCAGGAGATGCATGACTGGCACCATCTAGTAGATGAAAACTGCAAGGCCCCATTTGCTCGTCTTGACTGCCCCACTGGTGTGCAGAGCCCAGCACTGGGCAGTGCAGGCTCCTCTGCTGGGTGCAGCCATGGGAGCTTTCTCTAAACTCTGCAATATGCATGATAATAAACTGAGAAGGTATCTAATGTCTTTCCTCTTTCAGGATTTTGCAGTTTGCTTTACCTGAATGCTTTCCCTGCCCCTGAGTATTCTGCATGCTTTACCACAGCTGTTTGCTCAAGCTGGTCCCAGCTCCCACCCTCATCTGTATTTTTGTGGTTTGATTTGGATGCATGTTCTGTATTAGTAATCACTCTGGAGGTTTCACTCAGTAAAGTGGGAAGTCCTAGTTTTCAGGCAGAGGGTCGAAACTGAGCTTGTGGTAAGATACATACAATTCTATGTCTTCTGACCTGCCTTCTTGACCTGCTGTGCCTCCATGCAGCCATGTGTAGGCCAGTTGTTTCTCCTACTGCTCTTACGTCACCCCTTCTGATGGCTTTTCAAGAGGGGTGGATAAAAGGAAGAGCTTCACAGAAAAAAATGCTAAACCCAGAGGTGGTGGTTTTCACTCCTTCGGCACATCATCAAATGGATCTCACTGCATAATAAGCCCCTCTGAACTGTGGGGCCATTAATTAGTATGCACAGTGTTTGTTTAAGGGCTCCTTGCTCTTTTATTTTAACTGTGAGGAACTTTTAACTGCCTTTGAGATGAAAAGCTCTGACCAAATGTTGCCAACAAGCTGATCAGATTTGTCCTGGTTGTCTCAGTCCAATTGGCAGAGAACTTTACTTTCTGCCCTTCCCTTCTGAGTAAAAGCTAAAACATTGATCCAGGCTGATAAACCCAACCTCCTCATTTCTTTCATAACTTTTAAGTGTTACTGGGAGCCAGGTGATCCTGCCTGTGTATGTGGTGCACACTACTTTTTGTACAAAACATCAGAGGCAAAGCCCAAAGCATCTCTTCCAACCTAATTCAGGAAAAAAAAACATTTGTGAAAGAATAAAACAAAAGCAGATCCACAAGTACTGTTTATTCATAGCAGACAGGACAAAGCTGGGATAAATATCAGGTGTTACCTTCCAAAAGTTTATTTAGAGCTTTTAGTTACAGAAACAAAAAAATAATCCCTAAATAGAACTATATGTAACAGATATATACATACACGTAGCTCACTGGTTTAACAGTGATGTCAGGATGTCAGGGTGGCTGGGAACAGCACAGCCAGAGTGAGCAATCCAGAGAGCATTTCTAAACAGTCTAAAAAGTCCAAACTAAGTCTCTCCCTTTCTCTCTTATTTTACTAATCACTGCAGCATTTTTACAGGAATCAGAACCGGAATCTCCTACAGCTGCACAGGGATAATAATAAAAATAAGAAGCAGAAGAGATCTGCCATTTACCCCTTTATCCAAGGAAGTGATCTCCACGGCCTATGTGAGATCTGAGAGGTAAGCTTGGTGCCAGAGGGGATCATTGCTTATTGTCTTGTATTTTCATTGATAGGAAGTTAATTATTTTAAGAATAAAAGACAAAAAAGCTATATAATTAATGTACACTAAAGAGCTTGAGAGGGTTCTATACAATAATTTAGATGTATTAAATAAATAAAAAATAATAGCAGCCTTCTACAATGCAGGCTACACATAGGTTTACTTCGGCTTGAAGTACCCTGGTCTTTAGTACACCTACAGGAACAGACTTGCTCCACAAGTGTTTTAAAGAAACATATCTATAAGATACATACGTAAGAGTGTCTAAGGTTAGGGTAAACATTTTAAAACACACTTTACCACGGTCTCCACATATCTAATGAGCCCATTCTAGCGTTGTTATGGGAAAAATTTGGCTGCAGGACCTGTCTGGGAGGCGCAGCATCAACCTGGCTGAGAACAGAGAGCGGCGGCAGCTGGAAGGAATTTTTTGAAGCCTGCTTGTTCTCCGTGGGGTAGGAGCGCTCCTGGGAAGGGTTTGTGCTCCGAGTGCTCCCCTTAGGGCTCACGGGCCTTTTGGGGGTCAAGAGAGGCTGCTGAGATGGGCTCGAAGACCTTGATGCCACTTTGCTGGTGTCTTCACCAGACCTGGGTAAGGATTTCAGCAGGTGGTTGAGCAGACGTGCCCCGAGGGTCTTGTCCATCCACTCGCAGGTGAGGAGGAGGTTGTGCACCTCGTGCATGCACTGAATGTACCCGGTGCTGTACCTCTGCTGGGCTTCCAGGCCCACTTTGGAGTCAGCTGCGTTGGAGCAGAGACAAGGGAAGTCGGTGAGTGGGTAAGAGCTGCCCAGGGTGTTCTTGCTTAAACACTTTCACCAGGTTTCCCGTGGGCACAGGGTCCTGGGAGGCTCGGTGCTGAGGCCGACTGGGCTTTCAAGTGAAATGTTTGCAGGGCTCAGGGGGATGCAGGGTGCGAGCCTGCAGCCCCCACATCCCGCTGCCCACCGCCAAGGGCTGCGCTAAACCAAAAAGCGGCTCTAGAAGGAGGAAAACCTTCCGTGCGTTCAGCGGTGCCCAGCTCCATCTCCCCATCTAGTGGAGAAAGCCAGAGCCGAGCAGCAGCCCGGGCCTCAACGGGTTTAAAAGATGCTTTTGCCAAAGTGCCAGCGGCTAAACCTGCTGGTCCTCTCCTGCCCCGACGCTGCCCGCACGGGCCCGGGCACTCACCCATCAGCTTGCTGCTCTGGATGTTCTGGAGGTGCTTCACTGTCATTTCCAGGATGTCTGCTTTTTCCAGTTTAGACTGCTGGTAGGTAAAGGGTGCAGCAGTTAGAGGCAGCAGAGGATGCCCAGTTTTTCAAAAGAAGAGACACCCTCCCACCCCCTTCTCCCTCCAAACCAGTCCCCCCACCAGTAAAAGGACAAAAAGCAGAATAAAAATAAACACTTACATCCAAGTGGAAGGCGCCCACAACTGTCTCCTTCAGCTGGTCCAGGCAGTTATTGATCCTTTCCCTTCGCTTCCTCTCAATGAGAGGCTTCCTTAACTGGTAGGCAAAAGAAAAGGAGGAAAAATTGCAGTTGATATTTTTTTTCTTTTTCTCTCTGCTGCAGTTCAGCGAGGGCAGCACCTCATCCCCTGCACGAAGCCAGTGCGGGGTGACGTGATGCTCAGCAGAGACAAGGTCCGGATGGAGAGGGCAACTATCTCCAGCTCCAGGCTGTCCCTCAGCTCGTATCACCTCTCAGTTCCCCCACTTCCACCCAAACGAAAGAGAGAGAAACCTTTATAAGCCAGAGAAAAGAAGGAGAAAATAACACCCACGTGGCTGAAATTCAGAGAAAGCATCTTTATAATAAGGGGAGGGGGGGAATAAATGTCCCCTCTCTCTTTGCAAGAAGCAGCAGCTGCAGCCCTCACTCCTG